TAGACTTGAAGATACAAATTGGCAGACATTGTTCTTTCTCCTTACTTTATTTAGTGAAGAAAACTTTATTTTTCTGCTTTGTTTTTCTCTTAGTGAAGAAAATCTTAAATCTATAGTACCAATCACTAAACTAAAAAGTAAAGCTCCTCACTGGACAAACAGGATACTTCATGAATACAAGGTGAGACAATCACATAGTAGAAAATCCTGTCTTAAAGATTTTTTATTTTTTTTTTGATTGTTTGGTTGTCAGTTAATGAACAAAAATACTAGTATATAAAGCTGGAAATGTGTATGCTCTTAATTTTTGGATGGGCTGTTGGAATGCTGTTTGTCTTGCTTCACTATAGTTGATCTGGTTTTTAGAAGTAAATACGATTTTCATCTATTTATCTTCAGTGTTTGGGGCCAGATCAGGCATACATGTAAAAAATTCTACTCTGACTTGTAGCAATAGATCCACAAAGTCTGTTTGCCAGTATAGCTGGTATGGTAGGGATCTGACAATGCTGCTGATGTCCACGTGCTCACACAAACTCCTTTGACTAAAGCAGTTAACTGAGCCAAATTTGTAAATGTGGGCTGCTTCTGTAAATGACATCTAACTGAGGGCTGTGGATTCCACAGGGGGCCAGGGGCACCTGAAGATGGAATTAATGAAAAAAATCATAAAAAAATGTGGGGAAAGTGGGGTGTGTCAGAGTGAGAACAGTACTGGCTGACATGTGTCGCTAAAGGTAGCTGCCAGGGAACACTGCAGAGGCACTCAGGGAATGTTTTCAGCCTTGCCCCTCTTTTGAGATGAGGTTATGGAATCATAAACTTTCTCTTGGTGCTTACACTTTTTTTTTTTTTGGTCAGAAACCAGCGGATAATTCCTCTTCTTTGTAATACAGATGAAGGAGTGGATTATATTGGTCTTCCTAAGACCATGGTGTAGCAGAGGACATAAAGGAGTAGTTTCTACTCTTTCTTGTATCAGACAGTATGCAAGAATGATAATTGCTTTCTTGACCTCTGCTCTTATTCCATTATTTTTGGGTGTGCATTTAGTATCAGATGCATTTAGTATCACATGAGTGATACTAAATGCAGCTTACCCATGATGAGTCTGGCATACTGCTGAGAGAGGCAAAACTCTGAGGCCCTGCAGAGGTTAGGTGTCTGTGGCTCATGTTTCTGAGGCTCGTACAGGTATCTGCTTTCTGACTCAGTCTCTTTTGGCATTTCAGCCTTTCTGTGTGTGTTTAGTGTAGATGTAGGAAAATGGTTGCTGGGGAGGTGTTTTGGGAACATGCGTTTGGTGGGAATTCCACTAAATAGTGGATGTTCTTCAAATAACCACAGCTGTTTGAAGACTTACTGGTTGCTGCTGTTCTTTTCTTTCTAGAATCTCAGCACCAGTGAAGGTGTAAGTAAAGAGATGCACCACCTTCAGCGCATGTTCTTGCAGAATTGCTGGGAAATTCCTACTTACGGAGCAGCTTTTTTCACAGGACAGATATTCACCAAAGCAAGTTCAAGTAGCCATAAAGTGATTAAAGTATATGTAGGAGTAAATGTAAAAGGGCTGCACCTCCTCAACATGGAAACAAAGGTCAGCTTAAGTGAACTGCCAGTAATAACTGTTAAGCTTAATTCTGTTCTCTTTTATTCTTTGTGCTAATAGTCATTTCACATGCAACCGTTTAAACTTGACTGTGAAGATTTCAAAGATTTTAAGATTTTCATAAGGCACTACTAATAGAAAGCCCTGTATTTTTCCACTTTACTCCTTTATAAGCTACAACTGGATTGTGGAATATACAAAATCAGAATCCTGTCTAAGTGAACGAAGCAAAGTTCTGGGTGTAAGTATTGTGAATATTTTGAATGACAGTTTTTTACATTTAATTGTAGGCTTTACTCCTCAGCCTCAAGTATGGTTGCTTTATGTGGCAGTTGGGTGATGGAGATACATGTTTTCAAATCCACAGTCTGGAAAACAAAATGAGCTTTATTGTGCATACCAAACAGGTAAGCATTGTAATTTTTCATTGTTCATGTTCAGTTATTTTTCCTAAACTAGATGCATGCATCTCCTCTTGAGACTGACCACCCTTGTACAGGATAAAAGAAGCCTAAGCTGCACCCCTGTAAATCCAGCAACTTTTGATAGTGTTTGGGGGTGCCTGAAGGAAAATGCTTTACCGTAGCCTGCATGGGTGGTAATATGCCATGTTAACATGTGTTGTGACCCCTTTGAGTATTTTGCCTACTTTCACAGTAGTTGCTTTTGATTCCTATGTATTAAGGTGGTTACAGGGGAAGTGACTGAGTATTTTAAAAAGCACTTCCTGATAGCTGAGAAAAATCAAGGGTTTATTTTCCTTATTTTTAAAATGCAACTTCTAACTTACTATTCTTATCTAGTTGCATTTGTCATACACTTGATCCTTCACAGTTCCAAAATGCTGAGAGAATTTTATACCTTTATAAAGGCAGGTCTCGTCGTGAAACTTTTGATGAAATTAAACGGCCAGTTAATGCCAAGTGAAAGAAATGAATGATGGAAATGAACAGTAGTTCTGAAACTGCATCTGATGGCGAAGCAAAAACCAACTTATGTCTCCTCATAACAGAAGGCTTCCATGTACATGAATTTTACACAATACAGAAGTCAGTTTGTACAGTTTTTTTAACTTTGTACAGAAGCTGCATGGTTTATTTTTTAAAAAAACCTATACAATGTATCTATTATTTTTATAAATATTTTTGTGGTTCATACATAAGCTATTGTAGGGCTTGAGCTTAACCAATAAAGCTAATGAAATGTAAATGGTTGACTGAGATGGACACACATGAATCAAGTAAGGCTTTTGTTCCCATAGGACTATGGGAGAACCAGTGCCATTAAGCAAGTCTCAGTTAACCTATTTACCTTTCATGTTGTTCTGTGGAACATCAAGGAGGCTGTATATGTTACAGTATTTTGCAGACCCACTTTTTTAAGATGCTGTTGGTAAATGTGACCAGTTAGACCTTTGAGCAACTACTTTTGATAAACTTGCTTTTTATTTGATTTCTGAAAAATGTTACAGCTGGTTTTGGGTTTAGTCTTAACTTTCTCATACTTTATATTCATATTTATTCTAAAATATTGCATGAGGATGTCAAAAGGGAAATAACTTTAAATCACTCAGAAGCCATATTAAATGTTTAGCATGCTTGGGTTGGTTTGTTTTTTAAGTAATGGATTTTTACTTTTGCTGTGCAATATAAGATGTGTATATAGAGGAGAAGGAGGTACAGATTTACAAATGAATCTTACTCAGAGGACTTCAGAAAGTTTAATAAATCTTACCCTGGATTGCAGTACATATGCAGTAATAAAAACTCAGATAGGAGGTACTAAGTTATTTCTGTTAAAACTAATTTTCCTACCGATTACTTAAGTTTCTTGAGGCTACAAGCAGTGCAGGATGCAGAAATGAAGATTTATATTCCAAGGAAGTCAGACACAGTTGGTAAGCACCTGCCTGGTCTATGCAGAGTCAGGACTGGGTCTCAATGAGCTGGGACCCTATGCAATCTGAAACATATCTTTGTACATTAAAATAGTATCCATGACGCAACTCTTCAAAATTTCTGGTTGTATTTCAGGATTTTAAGTGCACTTGACTGTTTCTTCCACGTAAACTGCATGCTAAACTAGTGTGCAATATTTTGTAAAGAAGTTTTTTTTTTTTAAACAAAATTAGCACTTGCCTCTAAGTTTTCAAATAAAAGCAAAAATGAATGTTAGAAGCTGTGCTCTTGTGTAGTAACTTTACACCTTACAACTAGCAAGTGCAGGTTAAGAGATAAAAGTAGTAAGCAGTTAAGAAAACAGGAGACATTTTGTAATCTTCTTAGCAAGCTATACTTTTTTACTTAAATCTCACTGGCATAAATACCAGTAACTCTTCATGGAGTGTTATCTTTAAGGTAAATAATAAAACAGGTCCTTTGTAATGCAGCCATCCTGGCTATCACTTGGCTCTGGCATCAGAAATACACTTCTCTACATAGCACTTTGTTAGAAAACTACAGGAAGTATGTTAAAATGTGTCAGCTGCATACTTAACAATACTATTAATATGCCTTACTGCTGTATAGCCCTTTCTGCTAATTTGTTATTTATTGCTACCTAATAAATAGTTTGCAACAAGTAATGTTTGTTGTTGTTTATTACTGCACCCAGCAGTATGTCTTACCAAGCAGGTGTTACCACGAAAGACCAGTATTTTGTAACAGGCTTACCTTTGCAAGGTATGTGGGAAGATGGCAAGAGGCGGCCATAGCAAGGGGCCCATGATGACTACAAATTAAGGTTGTGCACCTCAGAAACAACTCGGGAATTCATCAAGAAAACTGGAAAACGTTAGTCATGGCAAACCAGAGCTGAACACACTACTGGAGGCGCGGCCTAACCAGCGCCCAGTACAGGGGGATGACCACCCCCACGCACACTGCCCACGGGCGTTTCCCCCAGCCTGCTGCCGCAGGCGTGAGACGCGCTTCAGAGGAAGGCGCTAGGGCCACCGAGGCGGTCACGGCCACCCCGAGGAGCCTGGAGCTCAGGACCTCCGTCAAGCCGCCCGTCGGGAGCGCGAAGGGCCACGGCGCACACGCACCCTCGGCAGCACAGCCGTGCAGGCGCGGCCCGGCCCAGCCCCGCCCGCCCTCACAGCGGCCGCGCCCCAGCCCCCGCTCCCGGGGCGGTGCTGCCTCGCCCGCGGCAGCCCCCGCGCGGCGTCACTGCGTGGGGCCAACCACCGCCCGCGACCCCGCTTCCCCGCCCCCCGCCCGCCCAATGGCGACCCTCGCTGCCCGGCAGATGCCGTCACCCCGCGGAGCGCGGCCGCCGGTTGGCTCCGGCGCCGGGCATCGTCACATGGGCAGAGATCAGCCCAGCGCGGAGGGGGCGTGGCTGCCGCCGGCTCCGCCCCGCCCCGCGGCGCGCGTGGGGCAGGCTCAGTCGTGCGGGTGCCAGCAGCCCGGTGCCGGGTGCGTGGTGCTGAGGCGATGCTGAGCTTGACGGAGGTCGGCGGGTCCTTGCTGGAGCGGGTGGCGGTCGGCAACGCCCTGTCCCTGGTGCTGGCCGCCTCCGCCTTCGTGCTGAGCCTCGGCTACCTGTTCCAGCTGAGCTACCGGCGGCACGTCGGCTCCGAGCACAAGGTAGGCGCCTCAGGTCGGGAAGAGGCGGGGGCCCGGACCGCACTGAGGGGTGGGCGCCGTGGGGCGAGCGCAAGGGAGAGGGTGAGGAGGGGCAGACGGACGGGGGAGCAGTGGTTCTCACCTGAGGAGAGCCCTTGTGGAGGGGAGGGAGCCGGGAGGTGGGATCGGGTGTGCGGAGCGGGCTCTGGAGAGGGGGAGCGTTCGCAGCAGCCGCCCCAGGCGCGGGTTCTGAGGGAGCGTGGCGCTGGCGTGTCCTGCCGCCCCGCATGTTGGTACCGGGCGGAGCGTGGGTCTGGAGCTCGTGTCTGGTAGAGGCAGCGGCCGTGCCCTGGACTCTTTCGTCAGAGCAGCTTGCACGAAGGCTCCCACGCGTGTGTGAAACTCATCGCTAGGCTGAAGTTCGTGCCTTTGGGGACTGTTTAACAAATCGTCAACGCTGCTGTTTCTGATTGCCTTCTTTCCCATTGCACCATCTTTGTGCTTGCCTTTCTGAGGCAGGTTGGCAAGAGAAACCATCGTATTGGTTTTATTTTAACCCCTACTGCTTTTGAATGTGGCCCACTCTTACTCTATTTCAAAAAATCATCAGTTGTCCGAAGTTGGCCTTTTCACAGAAGTGTTTAAACAAAACACGGATAAAGCCTCCTCTGTGCTGGGTTTTTACGTAAAGGGACACGATTTTATTGCTCTCTGAAGAAAAATCAATAATTATTTTTATTTTTCTTCCTCAGAAATACCCACCGTATATTTCGTCAAGCATCCCTTTCCTTGGACATGCAATCGCATTTGGGAAAAGTCCCATTGAATTTTTGGAGAATGCTTATGACAAGGTACATTCCCCCCCATGATCAGCTGATCATCTGCTAAAACGTTTGTTATCTGTCCAGTTCTGCATCAGGAGCCTGTTTAAAAGTGGTTAATTCTCATTTACCACCTTGAATATGGAATAGGGACGTGTTGCACAATGTGCACAATGAATGCACCACAGGCTCCGGTTTCCACAGATCTTTTATGTACACTGTTGTTAGAAAAATAGTATTTTTTGACATCCCTTTTGTGATTCAGATTCAAAAAAGAGTACATCTCTGTGTTTGGATAATGCTGAATCATAAGTTAATTAAAAAGCTATTTTCATGACATGGTTTCTTGCCTTACCTGGGAGCTTTAAATCTCACTCTTTAACTAATCTGAGACCAGGCTGGAATGCAGCTGACCACCTGTGTAGGCAATTCGATGAGTTTTAAGGCCTCTCCAATGTTAAGCAGGCTGGCCTATAAAACTTCAATAGGTTTTATACTATGACAGCCCAAAAGGACTGGACTAAGGAAGTAGACCATTCCATTGAAATAAGATTTCTTGATCTGTTTCACATGGTCTTAAAATATTTTAGAGTCATAAGCTTAAATCTTAGCTTGCTTAGCTTAGAGAGGCAAATTTAGTATAAGAGGATCTGCTGGACATGGCCTTTACACTTGAAAATCTTGCTCTTAATTTCCTATGCATAATTCCAAATTCAGGATTTTTTGTAACAGTGTTTGTGAATTACCAAAGGCTGTATGTGCTGTAATATCCCTCCTGGTTTTTGTACTTTAACTGATATTTTACTTATATTTTTTTAAGCTAAATGGTTTTAAAATGTGCAAGATCTTCCGTGTTTGTTACAACATTAGGTATTACTAGTAAGTATGTTGAGAACAGAACTTAAATGTGATTTAAGATATTTCCATCTTTTTCAATCGCTGGATACTTTTAAGGAGAGAAAGTGATTTATGGAATCCTGTACATAAAGAGACACCAATTTAGTGATTTGTAATGTTCTTATTTAAAATAAACTTTGTTTGTTTGTTTTTCTCTCTTAGTATGGACCCGTGTTCAGTTTCACTATGGTTGGCAAGACATTCACATATTTACTGGGTAGTGATGCTGCTGCTCTACTCTTCAACAGTAAAAATGAAGATTTGAATGCAGAGGATGTGTACTCTCGGCTAACCACACCAGTTTTTGGCAAGGGCGTTGCTTATGATGTCCCTAATGTGGTATGTATTTTAAATAAAAGTAGCTTAATTTACATTCTGAGTAGGCAGCCCTGAGCTGTTGGCTCTGTGAGATGGAGTTGGGTGTTTGTATGCAGTTGCGGCATATTGCAGTTGGTAAACGATCTCAGGTCGATAACCAAGACTGAACATGTTTAGGTTGCTTGCTTTGTCACCTGGCCATCTGTCAGTCTAGATGCTATGTTCTTGAAACTATCTAATCCCACCATAGATTTAAAACTAGTAGGCGAGTCTCTTTTTCCTTCCCTTACATTATGCGACTGACTGCACCTGCTTTTCTCTTACAAGCAATTTCAGATCTTCCTTCTGAGAGACTTGTAAGAGTGATAATTTTTCATTTCTGCCATGCCAGGTCTAGATGCAGGAGTATTAATTTGACAGTTTGCACCACAAGATTTGTCTTGCTTAGACAGAAATCATTCTGTGGGTGCTTGCATAATACAGGCTGCATGGGTCTGGAAGCACAGTGGCTGTTTCCAAGTGCAGCACTGGCTGCTTTCTCGTTTGTGCATGCTGTCTGCCATGACAGACTCCTAAGCTGCAGAAACTAACTTTCTGTGGACAGACTTGCTCCATGGGGACTCTGGATTCGGTGTATGCTGACATCAGCAGCCTGTTGTACAGCAGAGCAGTCTGGTGGCAGAAGCACCATAGTGACATGCTTTATGTTTGGATTTTCAGTTCGACTTGATTTTGTTTGTATGAATGCCAGTAAGTTGACTGGTAATAAGTTTCTGTGGCCGTTGATACTTTTCCTCTTTAGCATGCCTCTTCATTCCCTCATGCAGTGATTGTTGCCTTCTTAATTATGTGCCTGTGGACCAGTAATCACTAGTCTCTTCTCCACACCTGCATTTTGCAGGGATCCACAAAATCTGTATGTTGTTCTTGTAGGATCATGGAATGGTTAGGGTTGGAAAGGACCTTAAGATCATCTAGTTCCAGCCCCCCTTACCCTATTCTTTTGAAAATCTCATATAAAACTGACTACTAACAATTTGCCACTTCTTTGTAAATTCGTAAAAAGAACTTAGTTGTCTCCTGCTTTGTTAGAAAGTGTTAAATCATAGATAGATGGTGTCATAAAGTTTGGAGGGAGGATTGGTTGTTTGGGTCGAGGGTTTTTTTGCACTTGATGGTCTTGAGCTCTTCTCATCACTTCGTGAATGAAGCCAGCAGGACTGCAGCCTGAATAACAAGCAGGAGATAGATTGTTTCTTATGTCCTGGGAGACCTCTTTCATTAGTGAGGCCATTCTAGCAGACTTGTGCTTACTAGTTCTGGCAGTAAGAGGTCTTCCTCAAAAAGGGAGGGAGTTGTGGATGCGTTTTGGAGGTGCTAGAGTGTAGAGGGTACATGACTCTGCAATACGGCTTTCAGTTCTTCTCTGGTCTAGACTAGTTTCAGAAAAGTGTCTATGAATCAGACGCAGACTGCAGAGTTAGCCAGGTTTTCACTGTGTTGTGCTTGTTCTTTGGCTTCTGACTGTCGTGGGATGCCTGCTTGAAACTGAAAGGTGCTGATTTGTCCTTTATCCTGTGAAAGTTCATCCAGTTCTTACAGGTGTTTTGCCTTCTACTTTCATACTGCAGTGTACAGATGATTTGAATGTCTGTCTTCATTCAAGAGCTAGTTCTTTGACGGGATCTAATTTCTTCTTTCAGGAGTTTTATAGAACTTTCTATCAGCTCCTTGGAAATGGGCATTTCTCACAGCTGTGCTCTTTAGGACCTACCTCAGTGGTCCACCATGTACTGTTCTTTTTATAGTTACCCTAGTTTTTTCCCTAGAATGGTTTTGAGTTCTGTTTTAGTCAAAAGATTAATCTTTTCATATTACTGAGCAAGTCTTGGGTGTCTGTGGATACATCTACGTAAATCATATGTTTGACTTCATCCTTTTAATCTTTTCCCACAGCTAGGAGTTGCAGGGGCTTTGCTATTGACATAGACTGGTTAGCTCTAGTTGTAGGTTTCTCTCTGTGAAGCTAGAGAGGTGCTATGTCCAGTTTGGCCAGAAGACCTGTTAGGGGTGAGCTGTTTTCTTGCATAGTGCTACCACCACGATTTCATTTCAGACATCTACTGAAACAAAAACATTTTAGTAGGGGAAGGCATTTAGAGAGCCATTTAAACTTTTTTTGGTGTTTTGCCATTGATGGGTCATCCAGAACTTTTCAGGCTCCTTTCTTTCTGCTCAAGCTGCTAAGCCTCTCTCTCTTCAGTATAATAGTAACTTTCAGTCATGTTTTTAGAAGAATTACCCCTTACTCTTTAAAAGGAAGAATTTATTTACTAGTAATTCTGATAATTGCTTATTAATATGCATAGTCTATATGTCAACACAAGTTCATTGTCTGTCTCCTCCCTCCAAGTCTGTATACAGACGGTATTGTGTCAAGAGGAGCTGAAATGGCAGAAGCTTGTGTTCACTCCTGTGTGCCATTCCTGTCTCCATTGAGCTGGAGATTGGCTAGCATGTTGCAAGGGAAAATGTGCTTGTCTCTCTGCTCTGTGGCATGTGTATGATCTGATAGACTGTTGGAGTCCCCACTACATTCTGAAAACAGAAGTTTCCAGGAAGTAACCTTTCTTTTTGTACCTTTTTGGTTTGTGAAAAACTTCATACGACATCCAGAGCCCTTGGTGGAGAGACAATTGTTCGTATATTACTCATGGTATGGTGCAGATTTATAGGACAGATGGTCTCATTTGTAATTTGGGTTTAAAAACGGGTTGAATAATTTTCTGAGTCAACATTTTGTCAATCCAGTGAATGGTTCTCATACAATGAAGGGCTTTATACCAGTAGGTTTGTTAGCTATGAATCTATACAAATTAAAAAAAGAAGAGGTAAGAAGGACATGAAGCTCACCATTTTCCTAGGAAGCAGTTTGCTTCCTGTTTCTTTGTCTGACTTCCTGGGCAGTGAAATCAGAGGGCCGCATAAAGGAAAGGTGCACCTCTAGACCAGAGGTAAGGTATTAATTACTGCATGAGAGAATGCAGACACTCCAGGGGGGAGAAAGCAAGGAGGCCACATCACGAGGATCACAGGCTGAATCCAGACTTTGCAAGGACAGACCTGATTATGTTCGTGATTGATTATGTATCTAAAGATCTAGAGTGCATTCTATGTTTCAATCCTTAATGCTTCTTGTATCTTCAGGGATTAGGTTTAACAACGGTACTAAAACCGTTTTTTGCTTTGGTATTGCAAAAGAGAGAATTGCAGCTCCCTTGAGCTAGTGTTTCACTTGGATGTTGCTAACTTGCTTAAAAAGCAAAAGTGGTGGAAACCAGAATATTACCAATTAATTAAATTTGAGTATCTGTTGTAGCCTGCAGTCCTAATCATAATCTCTTTTTACTTCTGTATGTTCTTACAGTACAAATGATAATAAGTTGTTAATTACATTCTGATGATCTTTGTACCGATTAATTTTTATGTCTTGGTTCCTATAGGTATTTTTGGAACAGAAGAAGATGCTCAAAACTGGCCTAAACATTGCCCAGTTTAAACAGCATGTATCGGTGATTGAAGAAGAAACAAGAGAGTATTTCAGAGCGTGGGGAGAGAGTGGAGAAAAAAGTAAGTAAAATCAGATGCATTTTTCCTCTGATTTTCTGGGAAGATGTTAAGGCAAATACAGTATGTTTTTGTAAATGATTTTCTGTAATATTATAGAAATGAAGAATGACATAGGTAAAATTGTACAAACATAAGAAGAAATGCAAAATGCAGATTTTGTTTAATCAAAGTTAAGGCTATTGGAGAATAAAGCTGCTCAGAAGATCATTGACAGGAGTGAAGGACTATGTTTAGATTTCTTAGTCACCTCACAGAGTGTACCTGTTGCCTGGCTGAATCAGGCTTATTTTGAATGATACGAGTGGGCTCAGCATAACCCCTTAGTCCCTTGGAAAAAATACTCCTCTTGCTTCTTAGAGCTTGTCAGAGGTCTCAGCTCAGGGATCTTCTGCACTGAAAAGCCGGATTCTCAAAGCTGATAGGGTTGTTGGTGATCTCAGTGGAATTCCTCTTTCATTTCCCACCTGTCTTTCCCAACACACCTGCTAGACATAGCCCATTACCATAGTTGCAAGCCTGCAGTGGCATAGCAGTGTCAGAAATGTAAGTTATTTAAACATAAATATATCTTTATATATATAATAATTTGTAACTATATATTTATAGTTACACATGCAATCTTTCTATAAGATGGAATACTTACATATTGTACTATGGTTAATATTTATTTTGTAAGTATATAATTTACATGTAATAGTTAATAGAATCTGTAATTTTATAAAGTATCAATACTACTGTATAAAAATAATTCAGGGGGCAGCAAAACTAACTGGTTTCCCATGGATTTGAATTTCAAGGTTGGTTGATGATTTCTGCTTAAGGTTTGAGCTTGCGCTGCATGGCTTGCTTTGGAAGGATTATTAGCTCTCCCAGAAAAAATTCTAAAAAGGAACAACGTAGATCATAGATTTCAACAACTTTTTCTAACTAACAAGTCTCAAGAGAGACCTGATAGACACACAGAGATTTAAAATCAGATGTTTCTTCATTCTCCTCGTAAAACAATCTACAACGCTATTTAAAACTGTTTATCTGTGTCCAGGTACTTATTTTCCACAAAATAAATACATAGAACGTAACATCTTGCCAGAAATGCATCTTCAGTAACATTTTTTCAAATCTTCCCTCAGACCTGTTTGAAGCCCTTTCAGAACTTATCATTTTGACAGCAAGTCACTGCTTACACGGGAAAGAAATAAGAGGCTTGCTGAATGAGAAGGTGGCTCAGCTATATGCCGACCTGGATGGGGGATTTACTCATGCTGCCTGGCTTCTGCCAGGTTGGCTTCCTCTGCCGAGCTTCAGGTACCAGAAAGGACAGATGAAGCAACTTAAATAATTTTATCTAAACCTCTTTGTTGTTTTGATTCCTCTGTTCACTTTCCTGTTCCCCTTCCATCCCCCCCACCCCACCCCAGTTTCTTGTTTATAAGCTATTCTAGGACATCCCAATAACTCCTTATAGGCATTTTGAGCAACCTGGTCTAGTGGAATGCATCCCTGCTCCTGGCAGGGGGGCTGGAACTAGATGATCTTTAAGGTCCCTTCCAACCCAAACCATTCCGTGATTTTGTGTGTTATTTTGTATAAAGTTGTTAATAGAAGTGGTTTGAATTGCAGGCGTCGAGACCGAGCACACAGAGAAATAAAAAATATTTTCTACAAGGTTATCCAGAAACGTCGAAAGTCTGAGGAAAAGGAGGATGACATGCTCCAAACTCTACTAGATGCTTCATACAAGTAAGCCAAGAGTTTGAAGACTTGTCATTTATAGATGTTTTACTTTAGCTTTGATCTTTTCAGTTAAAATGATCTTCCAAAGAGTAAGAAATATTCCCTCATGTTCCAAGCTGCTTTAGTTGCCAGCAATTGGTCCTAGCTGTATTCTCAGAAACAACTTAAACACCATAGTAAATGGGTATTCAGAGTTCTGAGATTTTCATCAGTGTTCACAAGGTGGCTTCCTTTCTCTTTGCTGGCTGTTGGGTTATGATCTTCTTCCAGGCTCCTAGAGAGTCTCTCTCCCTCTGTTCACCTTTCTTCCTATCCCTGGATCTTTCACTGCTCCATTTAGGGTAGGCAACGAAAGAGAAGGAGGAGAAAAGCAGTAGAATAAATTGTAAGTGGTTCTGTAACTGGAAACCTGATAAATGAAGCTCTAATGTAACACCCCTCAACCCAGGGATGGGCGTCCTCTGACAGACGATGAAATTGCTGGGATGCTCATCGGGCTGCTCCTGGCGGGGCAGCACACATCCTCCACCACCAGCGCCTGGCTTGGCTTCTTCATAGCCAGAGACAAATCCATACAAGAGCAGTGCTATGCAGAACAAAAAGCAGTCTGTGGGGATGATCTGCCACCATTAACTTATGACCAGGTTTGTGTGTTACATTATTCCTACTGGGTATTTTTATGCTTTTAGATGATTATTTAAAAAAAAAACAAAACAAAAACCCAAATATAGTCACGTTTTGTTTTTTAACCAGTGTTGACTAAGGAAATTACATGATGCCTATTTAAGAAATGACTGTTATGTAGAGGAGGATCTTCATATTCCCACTGAGGAAAGGGATGCAGTGTGGCCTTGTTCTTTAATTAGGCATCAGAAAACACTCCTGAGACAAATTAGTAAGAAACTAGTCATATTCCATGGCACTGGTCAGAGATTTTTCCCTTCTTAATTGAACCAAATGGGGAAAAAAGAAATGATAAGGGTAGCTAATGAAGTGCAAATATGAGCTGCTTACTCTTTTGTTTTTAAATGGTATAAAATACCATTTTGTTTGCATTGAATAAACTTGTCTGTCCTGATACATCATTTTCTCTGTATTTTCAGCTCAAGGATCTCAGTTTGCTGGATCGCTGTCTAAAAGAAACGTTAAGGCTTAGACCTCCTATAATGACCATGATGAGGATGGCCAGGACTCCCCAGGTAGGTACAGGCATTGGGGCGAGCTTCACTTCCCTACAGTAGGGTGGGCAAAGGCCAGGTGAGGGGTGTCCCTTCTGACAGGAGGAGAACACAAAGGAGCAGTGTTTACTGGCAGGGACAAAAGTTAGTGGCAGCCTGGGCTGCATCAGTGGGCCTGTAGCTGGAGCTGGCTGAAGAAAGCAACTTAAGTGTAGCTGTTGGTCTCACTCAGGCTTAGATTGGTTCTACCACTTCTTAAAAGACATCTTGTGTTTGCCATGTATTTTTAATAGTTATCTTAAAAAAATTTGGCTTGCACTTAATACAAGCTAGGTAAATCCAAAAGAAATCTTGCTGTTTGTAGAAGATAGATAGAATGTCAAGTAATTTTTTAAATGAATGGCCCCCTCATGGCAAATGCTTTCAATACATGGTAAGCTTACTCATTTTCTTAGAAAACCCTTTCTGTAGCATTGTGACCTTGTTAAAGCAGCTGAAAGCTTCCTGTAGCTACTTGAGCACTGTGCCCTGTACAAGTAAAACAGGAAAGTTTTAGGCCACATTAATTTTAAATGAGCTTAGCCAAAAGCTCTCCTGAAATTGAAGCCTCATGATGCAGCACTTCGGGCAACACTTTAAAAAGAAAAATGGAGAAATTTTGTGACGTGTTGAATCTTGTTTCTTCTCTTGTAGACTGTTGCTGGATATAATATTCCCCCTGGCCATCAGGTCTGTGTATCTCCCACTGTTAACCACAGACTCCGGGACTCCTGGAGAGACGCCCTAGACTTCAAGCCTGACCGGTATCTCCAAGATAACCCAGCCGCTGGAGAGAAGTTTGCATACGTTCCATTTGGCGCTGGTGAGTAAGAACAGGCGCTGCCTTCCTGAGGGCTGGCCCTGGAAGTGGCTCACACTGGTCATCTCGTACGGCACCACCCCATGCTGCAGCCTCTGAGAATAGATACTTGTTCTTTCACTGCCTGCCTGAAAGCCTTGTTGCTGTGGAAGTGCTGTTAAAGGCATGAAGCCGATGATAGTTTTGCATTAGTAATAGCTGTGTATGTCACTCAGAGTAGCAGTCAAAACAAATCTTTAGGTTAGCATGTGTGAAATTTGACTCGAGTCTTTTCAAGTCAAGGTAAAAGCCTGGTACTATAAAGTCAGTTAAAGGCAGGGAAAAGTCTGCATTTAATTACAGCTGCCAAAACAGTTTGCAGACATCACCACAGTAGGGTTACAGCTGGTATCTTTTCTCACTGTTGCAAAAGCTCCTTTGGTGATACAGAAATTTAACGCTTCAGGTGAGGACAGAACAGCATAGTCTCATTCACATTGCTAATTAACTCAAGTCTCATTTTTGCAGTGACAGCTTATAAAACCAGCAACACTTTAATGGAGCTCCATAATGGTGTACATGCAGCATCATGTTTGGAAAGCAGCAATTACTGTCTGCATAAAACCTTTAAAGCCAGCTTGTTCTCAGGTGACGTAATAACCAAGTATTCTAACTGCTTTTCATGGCTTCCCTTGCAGGCCGTCACCGCTGCATCGGAGAAAACTTTGCTTATGTTCAGATTAAGACTATTTGGTCTACTTTGCTTCGCTTGTATGAATTTGATCTCGTCAATGGCTATTTTCCAACTATAAATTACACAACAATGATACATACTCCTAATAACCCCATTATCAGGTATAAAAGGAGGTCACCGTAAATTCTGCAGCTAAAGCCCTACTTATTTAAATTGTGTAAACTAACAGACTTGACTAAAATTGTGACAGAATGAGAGGCAAATGGAAACTGCTCTTAGGGAAACAACCATAATCTACCATGTGCAAAGTCTTTGCATTTCTTGTTTGCCCACACCATTGAATGCTGCTGTGTATAACTGCGTGTTCTACAAATTTCTTGTTGTGTTTTTAAAGGAAAAGTGTCTTTTTTATTGGTGTAACACTTTTAAGGTGCATGCCAGCTCTTTGAGGTGAAGAAATACATGAACTCTTTGTTCTGGAGACAGTTGAAGATAATGATTACTTTCCCCAGATAACAGGGGGTGAGCCTGCATACCCTACCTCTGCATCCAACTACAGGAAATCTGTCAGAAAACAAGCACCACAGTGGGATGGATGCTGATCATTTAAAAGGATATTACTGTCCAGCTGAGCAGTAGGGAGACTGCAGACTGTTCAGAGAAAAGTCTTTTCTGAGAATAAACAATTTAAATGGCTTAACTGGAAGCAGTTGTAAAATGCAACAAAAGATTTTCTAAGAAGTACTTCTGACAGTAGTGATTCTTGGAAGCTTGATGTAAGCGTGTGTGAAAGTAACAGTGTGATGATACAAACAACATTAATTTTGTAAATAACACGGCTGTGTATAAAATGGACACAAATGAAGTGAAATAGCTGAATCTTGTCCCCCTTTGCACTGACTCACACAGGATTGTTACACGGCGTTTGGGTCAAGAGTGGCCAAGATGAATGGTCGTGAGCTCTGGCTCACAGTAACTTTGAATGAAATCTAAAGCCAAACCTCTCGTGGAAGTTTTCTGTGCTCAGTTCTGTCAATTCTGAAAAACTTCTGTAACTAAATTTGTAATAAACTAACTTTCTGTCTCATGAGGTCAGTCATGCAGAGAGCTTCCCCCCATATCAGTTCTCACTGCAGCAACAGCTTTGCCCATCTTTCCTCTTCTAAGCTCAAGTGTAACTGTTGTAAAACCTTGTGTTTGTACCCATCACAGCAACTGAGGGAGTGCAGGATACTCCCTTTCTGTTCTGTCAGGTGTGACCAGGTCTTCAGAAACAAGGGCTTGTAGCTGTCCCCCTCCTCTCATGAGCAGCAGTAGTTTGGAAGCTGTGAAAAGTAAAGCTGCAGGAGGAACGCAGGTAGGAGCAAGCTTTGCGGGGGGAGCAAGGGAGTGGTTTTTGAACACGGTTAGAAGCATGAGGTTGTCTTTATTTCAGTACTTTGACAAAATACCCATAAAATTCAAAACTTCTACCATTACAAAAATAGGTCTCTACAAGTGATATTCTGTCTGCGCTGCCGGTAGCAAATAGTACGAGAATCAGGTAACTTCAGTAGCCTTGCCAGAAAAAGTGCAAGTAAACTTTGCTGAATGTAGCTCCATTTCATTAATACATGTTTCATCTTTGCACCCTTTTGATAAATACACACTTCATAAGTTAATCACTTAAATTAGCATTCCACAAATATACATGTAATTTAAGGGGGGGAGAGGGGGCTGGGTTGTTCCGGGGTGGTTTTTTGTTTGGTTTTGGGGTGTTTTTTGCATGAACACAAAGTGCCTATATACATAAATCCCAGTCTGTGGGGTGTGCCAGGATGGACCTGTAATATAATTGTACAGCTGTATTCATCTTGGTCCCAAAATATACACATGATAAAAAGCAGGGAAAGAGCATGGATTTATGGAAGGCAATCCATGAACATCATCACTGCCAGTGCTGGAGCTGGTGGAACTGAGGTATTATCTTCTCATACCCACATGCAGCTGAGTGTAGGAAGTCGAACCTGTAAGATGGAGACAGATTTTCATCAAGGTTGTCTGGAATAAGTACACAAGGACTCACCAATGATACGTTGCTCAGCTGAACAGGCATGAAAGATTTTACATGTAAAATCTTTTAAGAAGAAAGCTCCCTCAAATGATGGATTTTATGCTGAAGAAAGACCTTACGACAGTAACCACAAAAATCAAGTTTGATAAATAATGCCCTATTGACCTGACAATTTTCCTGCTACATTCCTTTTGCAGCACAGGAATTACCATCATCTGTGGGACAAAACCAGCTGCAGCTTCTGTAATGAAAGCGATAGGAGAAATTCCCCCTGTACGCCCACATCCCAGTCTTTTGGGTGCAGTTAGGCACAGGCTGCCCAGAGAAGTGGCTGCCCCATCCCCGGCAGTGTTCAAGACCAGGCTGGATGGTACTTTGAGCAACCCAGTCTAGCAGAAGGTGTCCCTGCCCGTGAGCTTTAAGGTCCCTTCCAATCCAAGCCATTCTGTGATTTTTCTCCATCTAGCTTAAAGTCATAGCAAGATACCAACTGAATGCTTGCTGCATATTTATTAGAGATCAGCGAAAGAGGAAGCGTTACTGAGAAACTCAAAGCACACTTCTATGTCTGTCTCCCTTCAAAGAATCTTACCATTTTCTCTTGAATGAGTTTTTTACCTCGGAACTTTTTTAATTGCTCAAAATATTCTCTTTGTTTAAGGCTGAAAATGCCTAAACACAATAGAATTCCTTCCGTATTTTGGAGAACCACTGCATCTTTTCCAACTAGAACCACGCCTGCACTACTCAGGAGTCATGGGGAGGACTGCCTGAGCCCTCACCTGACTGCACGCTGCCCAGTCGTCTTTGCAGGGCCTCCAGCCGGTGGATGTAATCTGTTAAAGCTCTCTCAGGATCATAGTTCTGCAGCTGAGAACAGGCGAAAGAGGCTGGGTTGAAGTCCGCCTGCATACTGGGAAACCTGGGGGCAGAACAACACTCGTGTCCAAAAAGCACAGCTTCAAGTAAGACGTTAAGTATCAGCAGACGCAGCAAACTGTGGTATGTAGGGACACCGCACCAACCCTTCACTCACCCACATGGTGGCCAGCATGTCAGACCCATGTAATCTCCTTGCTGCTTACTGCCCACGCCACCGTACTGCCTCCCCCAGAGAAACCACGCTTCCCAGTGGCCTCTCCCGTCTATTGCACCTGATTTCTTGCTGCATTTCTCTGGGACAAAGACTGACCAGCAAATTCCTAGTGAGACTGCAGCAGAAGCCGTGGCAGATTCAAGTTAGCTTTTCTATTTAAAAAGCTTGCATGAACAAGGACACAGCCACCTTTACAGGATTCTGCCTCTTTGTTACCTTCTGTAAGTCAAAAGTGGCCATAACAGATTAAACCTTTTTGCCCTAATGAACTGTTATGGTTGTCAGAAGCTGAAGAATGCTGAGGTGGTTTATCTAGAAATGAAACCCCACAAGGGCTAAAATCTACCACCAGCTCCAAGAAGATGCTGTGAATCAGGCACAGAAGTAATTGCAAGCTCTGGCCTTGATCAGCATGATGAGTAAATGCAAAGGAAAGGACTGAGATGTTTTGCAAGAATACGTAACAAATTACAAGTAAAAAAATACCTTACAGCACCAAAGATTACAAACCTTCTCAGTAAGCACTGATGCAATAATTTAGTGTTCTGATAGCTAATAATCATCTAAAATAAAACATACTTATGTAGAAAGTTTACAGGAGATCTAGGAGACTCCATGTCTGACCTGGATCTATAGGAATGCCTTTGCTCTCCATAAAGATCCATGCCACCAGAGAATGAGTCAGGCCGCAGTTCATTACCTAGTAGAAAAAACAATGCCTTGAAAACTGAACGAAGTGACACCTTTTGCACTTCACAGAGAATCTCAAACATGAGTTTTCTGTTTGCACATCACAAAAATGGTGTTTAACAAAAGAAGACCACTTTCAGACTGTGTCAGAGAAAACCAGAGGTGAAATCCCGGCCTCACTGATGTTACTGAAAAAATTCCCACAGGCTGAGCAGGACAGGGTTTTAGTGCAGACCCAGATAGCCAGGAATTAATAAAAAAGCTTTTGATTCTTGTTAGGATCCTACCAAAAAGCCAACAGAAAACCAGGTTTCCCAAACTTTAAGCTATAATAGAAGAACGACAGACTTCTGCTCTTGAGGGAAAGGCCAGGGAGGGCTGGTCAATAGGCTCTATTGCCACTTGTCCATCCCTGTCCTTGGCATCTCCTTTTTAGATCGCTTCTGAGAAACCAAATGACGTGGCTAAAACTGCTCTTAAAAACACGCTCCATAGGCAAAAGTGCCATAGTTTTTAAACCCCACCCACAATGGAGCAAAACAAGACTGAAGAGAAAGGAAATAGATTTGTGTCTGTGCTGAGCATGGAAACTCTCAGAAACCTGAGAAATACGTTCATTCAAGCAATTCTAACAAACGGAAGGGGGAACAGCACCCCATTCATTTCCACATGAGGAAAACACAGGTTAAAACCCATCCCCATTAAGCAGTGGTGTGACTTGTGGTACCATTTATCAGCCATTACTGGACTATGATTTACCTGTGTTCTGGCTAAAGACATCCCTATTGCCACTCAGTACACCAGAACCTGTAACTCTGTGCCATCTATGAACCAGGAACTTCATTCTGCATTTCAAATAAAGAAAATAAAATATTTCAGGCTAAATGAAATACCCTGCTGCTTGTATTCTAGAAGACAAAAGAATTTCTTGAACACCAAGCAAAATTAACAGATGCACATCTAAAACCTGAAGATGAAGTAGAAAACATTCTTATATGCATCCCTAAGAAAAACATCTTTTGTCCAAATCTGCTTTCAGCTTCACCTCTGCATTTCCAGCAATTCCAGAGGTGCTGCGTAAATCCCACTGGATAGCAAATGGCTGGAGCACCTAAGCAACAGGGCATCAGCATTTCAAAATCTTACTAAATACACTTTTTGCCCTGTTCCATCCCAAAAATTGTAACTGCTGAAAGCTGTGAGTAAAAACCTCACTTAAACAGGCACATGAATAGTATCTTGAATTTATACTACACATAAAGCTCTGATCAGTAGCAAGCACAAGTGCTTGGGGATTCAAACTTGTGCAGAGGGATTGCTAGCAACATGGCAGTACCACGCGTTAGTAACATTCACTTGATCTTCATCTATTTCTACTCATCCTCAGCCTGAGACATAGAGTCTTGTGATTTT